TCTTTCCACAATCGTCTGATAAATATTTGACTTATATTAAATTTGTAAGAATTATTCAATTATTGGTAGTACACACAATTACAATTTTAACCAATGAATTGCCAAAAAAAAGTAATAGTTTTGTTTGAAGTGCTAGTATTAGTAATCTCATCAATTATTTTAAACCTTTCATTTCTTTGAATCCCTACTTATAATTTTTAAAACCATTACAATTTCGTTTCTCCTCCTAAATAATACCAAAATTATTGTTGTAAAAATGTTTCACCCATTCAAATGCACACCTCCATACCCCAAAAAGTCTCTCTCTCAAAACTCGAACAAAACCCACGACAGTAGAACCTCTCAAAACCAGTGGAAAAAATTTATAGTGATTAAGAAAAAAAATTTATGTTTCATTACGAGATTTGTCAATCTATTTGATTTTTTTTTTTTTCCTATTATCTCTTTTCACACACACAACACAATCCACTTTCATGCTTCTCTGGTTGGTTTTCTGTGATTCATCCATAGCTTCACTGTACTTGTATGCTCTATGTGTAAGCAAAACTATACAGGATTTCACCTCCCGGTTGACCACCCAAGAGTGGTCCGACTGTTAACATAAATTTCAGAACATAAACCTTACACTTTGGATCATTTACCATGTGTATTATCAAGAAATCAAGACAAAATGACATACCTGAATCCATTGATGAACGGTTAAACGGAAGCGTGATTATCAATGAACTCTTTATTATTGATTATGTTATTGCCTTCTAATCCTTTCCCCTTTGGTGCCTTATGTTTCTCCTTGAGAGGATTTAGAAAAAAAAAAAGGAGTGTTCTTATTTCCACCTGGGAAAGGTGTAAACAATAATGTCATAATTTCATGCCATGCATGTCGAATTTAAGGCCAAATTCCTTCAATTCCTTTCTAACTTAGCTTGCATGGTCTAATTTGTCAATTCTAACATTAAAGCTCCCAATTAACCAAGAATTCATTCTAATTAACCCTTTGTCTTAGAAGATGATGAGTGTAGGAAGTTCAATTTCAAGAAATTTGAATGAAACTCAGGTAACAAAAAGCATA